ACAAGTCAGACTTCTCATGGAAGTTTTATAGAACATCTCAACTCTTGTAATTGTCAATCAACGGGTTAATTTACAAAAGGCAAATAGTCTGAGCACTGCAAGTCCACTTCAAGTTCTGTTGTTCTAGATGTGAGGGGGAGCTTTGAAATGAAGGGAAGCTCTGTTAATTTCTATCATCCAATCATGTGCAAGCAAACATTCTGTTTTTTATTTTCCTTGTATATGATTGGGTATTCTTTGCAAAGTGAAGCTTATTTGCTAAGCTCTGGAGCAACTGCACTTGCAGTGCACAGTATATTTGCCTTTAGTAAATCAAACCCAGGGTGTTTATGCCTGAAGGAGCTGATCGCAAGCAGAAAACTGATTGTGAGAAGGTGGAGAATCGCTCAACCATAGAGTGGAAGAAGTACCAGCCAGCATGTGAAAATACTGTCCTGAGTGCACCCCTGGCTAGACACTGATATACCCCAAACTCCAATCAATATTCCCAGTATGTGCTCACGAAGAATATACAAAATGTCCTCTCTCAAGATTAAGTGGTTTTAAAAAGTACTGCACTATGGTGGTCCCTTCTTGGTTTTTAACCCATCTTTTCTGATGCATCCATCTAGGATTTGTCAAGTGGATTTATATTGCCAGAGTTTGTGGTGCTGTGGGACAGCAAGGTGCTTTATGATCTCTTTGTGGGATCAAACCTTATGTTAAAGTGGAGTTCCAGTCAATTTTATGTTTATTAAAAGTCAGCAGCTACAAAAACTGTAGTTGCTGACTTTTAATAAACACGCACTTACCTGTCCCAGGGTCCAGCGGTGTGCTCAAATGTGCTGTCCCTTCTCTCCCCGACACCGGCATCACAACTGTGGGCACCAGGCTGTGACAACTGATTGGTCCGGCAGTCTTTTGTGACCTGTGAAGGTTTCCTAGAGACTGCGGGAGGAAGGAGGGGGCCAAACTTCCATCTCACTTCGCCATGGCAAACTGATGTGGGAGCGGATACCTGTTTTTCACAGGTACCCGCTCCCCCCTCCCCCCAAAAAGGTGCCAAATATGGCAGTGGAGAGGAGGAGGAGGCAAACAAGTGGAGCTTTCACTTTTGAGTAGAACTCCGCTTTAAGGAGCCTACTGTGTTTTGGTAGTGTAATCCGGTGGCACCTTCTTTTCCAGTTGCACTGTTTTTTTTTTTTGCACTTGTAAGTGGACATTTCTCTGGGATTCCTCTTCCAGAGTTTGGACTATTCATATGCTTTATTTCCTTTATATATTGCACTTTTCTTATTAGCACAGTGTCACATCATGGATATGCATTATGAATTGCAATTTGTTTATCACTTATATGTTTATGATAAAAGTTGCACTATAAATATAGTTTATGTGGGATGTTGTGAAATTTAAAGAAACAGTACATTTTGACTTTACTTCATTTTGACATAGTTTTTTCAAGAGGACAGCACACTCATTATTTTGCTTATATTAATAAGCAGCTTATTTTGGCACTTACTTTATCAGCTGCTTCTTTATCAGCTTGATCTTCCTCTGCTTTCTTCTCCTCCCTTATTCTTCATTGATCACTGCCACAAGTTTCCTTCTGGAGTAGCTCAGTTAATTTTAGAGAGGCCCATGGAACCACCCCTATGAGAGACAATGTCTACACTCACATTCACAGGCAGAAACAGAAGATGGGATGGTGGCACTTGGACTCATGGACACAGGGGGTTGAATCAAGGGATATTCGCCTGCTATTATTAATTAGAGCAGCATTAAACCCTTTAACATAACGGTTTCACAAAACCATCTGCCTTGTCTGTAAAGGACAGAAGTGTTTAGTTCCACTTAAAGTGAGACTAAACCCAACAATTAAACTGTTTCCAAAAACAGTTACATTCAAGGCATGTCTTGAATGATAATTGTTAGTTACTAGTGTGCTTATGTTAGCTCTCAACTGAACGGTCAATCCACTAAATTGCTTGTGCCATAGCTGATCACATCTGCAAGCACCATGGCAACTGTTGCATCAGAGGCTAAGATGGCAGCAGGGGAGGACTGACAACTCGTGGGGCCCCCGGGCAATAGGGGATCATGGGGCCCGTGCCCTTGCCCACACTCAAAGCACACCCAAAAAATTCTATAAAAAAGGTACCAGGGGCATTTCATGGGGCCCCCTACTGACCCTGGGCCCTTGAGCAGTGTCCGAGTGCTCGAATAGTCAGTCCGCCCCTGGATGGCAGCTTCCTTGGCTGTAAAGGACAGGAGGGTTTATTACCGTTTTAAATTACCACATGAAGACTGGACTGTTACACCGCTTCCAGTCCAGGCCATTTTTCAGTTTTCAGCGCTGTCACACTTTGAATGACAATTACTCAAGCAACACTGAACAATTAGTAAAGCAACACTGAACCCAAATTAATTTTATATCACTTTTTCACACACGTAAAGCCTTCTTTTGGTGGTATTTCATCACCATTGGGATTTTTACTTTTTACTATATAAAATAAAAAAGACTAACAGTTTTGAAAAAAAACTGATCAGTCCTCATGTACTGCCTGCTTATCTCATATCTTGAGGTCCTAAAATGCCAGGACAGTACAAATACCACCAGATGACCCCTTTTTGGAAAGCAGACAGGTATTTAGTAAGAGGCACGGTAAGGGTTTTGAAATTGTAATTTTTTTGTCACTTTTTTTGGAAAATGAAGAAATAAAATTTGTTCTTTTTCCCACAAAGTTGTCATTTTAACAAGTTATATCTCACAAACAGCATAGACATTTATAATAATCATTCCCCAAAACATATTCTGCTATAACTCCTAAGTATACCACATGTGTGAGACTTATTCAAAGCCTAGATGCATAGAGGGGCCCAAAATCCAAAAAGTACCTTTGGGTTTTATAGGGGCATAATTACACATCTAATTTCCTGACTACCTATCACATTTTTGGAGGCCCTGGAGCGCCAGGACAGTGAAATCGCCCACAAAATGACCCAATTTTAGAAAGCAAACACAAGGTATTTTATGAAAGGCATAGTGAGTCTTTTGAAAAATGCCATTTTTTGCTACATTTTTGGAAAATGCAGGAAAGAAATTTTTTTTTTTCACAAAGTATTCAATAAGATATTTCTAACACACAGTATAGGCATACTAGATGGCTGTTGTAGACAGTTACCTCTCACAGCCAAAATTGTTTAAAGGCTGCATCACGCCACCTCTGCTTACAGTACATTTGTAATCGTTGGGATTGGTCACAGTGATCACATGGTACAGAGCCAATTTCATTGGCCCAGAACTGCGGTCTGTGATCTCCTGTCTGGGTACGTCCACCCGCATTAGTGAAGCTCCTGCCTAGCCATTTATATGTAATGGCTGGTTTGGAAGTAGTTAAAATGGAACTAAACCCTCCTATCATTTTTAGCCAAGGAAGCTTGACAGTATGGTTGAGAGCATAAGCAAATGTAACCGTTACATTCCCGCCAAGTGTAACTGTGTTTTGAAACTTAAATCAATAGGTTTAAAAAGCAGTGTCCTCTGCCCAGCTGATCAAGTGAAAAAAATGTGAAGCCTTACAGTAGTGTTAAACCCTCAGCATATTCTAGGTTAACACATTGAACACAATAAAATATGCAGTACATTCTCCGGTACATTATTTGTTAAAATTCTTCTCCAGCACTTGCAGTTTACAACTTTCAATGCTGTTGGCTCCTGCTCTTCAGGGCAGCTTCCCTGAACTTCCAGTCTTCACAGCAGAGTTAACAATGGACATCTTCAGTCAGTCTGTTAGGTTGGAGAAGGGAGGAGGGAGGGACAGGGAATGCCTTGCCATCCTAGGCACACAGGATGTTGATGCACACAGTATAAGGAAGATGTAGCTCCAGTTCCTGCATGCAAGGGAGGCTTCATAGGACACTGCAAGAGATAAGAGTCACCCTGAAACAGGAAATCTTGGGAACAGTCAGGGCAGCAGCTTAAAGTATAATTCTCATTATACACCTTAGCAACGGCATCATGTGACTGCTATCTCGAGAGAACGGGACGTCACTACCTGACTGGCCGATAGAAGTGCTGAGTTCTGTAGAGCAGCTGCGGGGCTGTGGTTCTAGCTGATCGGCGGAGACTGAGGGACAGAGTCCCCACTTGCAGAACCTGTTTAAAGGGACCCCAGACGGTGATACACAGTAAGGCAATTCGGAGTACCTCACCCTAGACGAGATTGGATGGTGTGTGACCCTGGCAGCAGATGACCACTACCTGATGAGACAGGATAATCTCATATGCGCAATTTTGATGCACTTCTGGTGAGTGCGCATTCTTTATATCCCTATCCACTGTGTGGCACACTGGATTCCCTCCCACGCACTCAATAGGATCTATCGGATCCCCACGTGGGCTTTCATTATTTTGGGACATTTTATTCACTTATTTCACCACAGTGTGACATATGATTTTGTACTTGATTTTAATCATAGTTTTAATCATTTTATGTTCATTCAATACACTGTTTTACTATGTTCAGTTCTTCAGTTATATCTAGCGCTGCACCTTTTTATATGTACATTGTTGTAAGGTTCGTTCTTGGTTGCCTTTTTGGTGTTCTAGCAGCTATTTTTAGAAATTTTAGATAGCGCTCGCTCACCATCTTTCTATAAAGCAGGGGTCCTCAAACTTTTTAAACAGGGGGCCAGTTCACTGTCCCTCAGACCGTTGGAGGGCCGGACTATAGTTTAAAAAAAAAAAAAAAAAAACTATGAACAAATGCGGACACAGTACAGGAGATGACCAGAGACTGCGGACATACAACGGCAGTGGGAACACTGGGCCGGCCCCCGCTCCATAAGACGCACAGACATTTTCCCCCAAGTGTGTCTTATGGAGCGAAATAGTGCCCCATCATTGGTGTCAGTGGGAAGCATCGTGCCCCATCATTAGTGTCAGTGGGAGGAATAGTGCCCCATCATTAGTGTCAGTGGGAGGAATCGTGCCCCATCATTAGTGTCAGTGGGAGGAATAGTGCCTCATCATTGGTGTCAGTGGGAGGAATAGTGCCCCATCATTGGTGTCAGTGGGAGGAATCGTGCCTCATCATTGGTGTCAGTGGGGAATAGTGCCACATCATTGGTGTCAGTGGGAAGAATCGTGCCCCATCATTGGTGTCAGTGGGAGGAATAGTACCCCATCATTGGTGTCAGTTTGAGGAATAGTGCCCCATTATTGGTGTCAGTGGGGGGAGGAATAGTGCCCCATTATTGGTGTCAGTGGGGGGAGGAATAGTGCCCCAACGTTGGTGTCAGTGTGGGGGAGGGAATAGTGCCCCGTCATTGGTGTCAGTGGGGGAAGGGGATAGTGTCCCAACATTGGTGTCAGTGGGAGGAATAGTGTCCCATCATTGGTGTCAGTGGGAAGAATAGTGCCCCATCATTGGTGTCAGTGGAAAGAATAGTGCCCCATCTTTGGTGTCAGTGGGAGGAATAGTACGTCATTGGTGTCAGTGGGGGGAATAGTGCTCCGTCACTGGTGTCAGTGGGAGGAATAGTACGTCATTGGTGTCAGTGGGGGGGGGGGGGGGAATAGTGCCCCCCGTCATTAGTGTCAGTGGGGGGGATAGTGTCCCAACATTGGTGTCAGTGGGAGGAATAGTGTTCCATCGTTGGTGTCAGTGGGGGAAGGAATAGTGGTCCATCGTTGGTGTCAGTGGGGGGTGGAATAGTGCCCTATCGTTAACAAATGAATATAAATGGTGTAGCGCTAATACTCATAGAGCTAATAGAATACAGCTAGTAAATAGAGACAACAGTAATCAAATAAATATGCATATATCAAATTAAATGCTCCTTATGACCATGGGGAATATGTCATAACCTTATAGGTGACACTTAAAATAAAAGAAGATGAATCACACAGTGGTAAAATGTGATAAATCAGTCCACTTTGCACACAAGTGAAAAAAAACTCTTCATAGACATGAAGGTGCCATAAGTGCCATGAATCCCAAAGTGGTCTGAGTGCCCCCTCACCTCCTTGCAGTGACCACAAGGGCCAGCAAACCTTGTAGTAACCACCAAACGATCTCCCAGGGACCACCTTCCCAGTTGGACCGTAATGGATGTTAAGCCAGGGCTACAACCAGACCTTCTCCTGCACTCCACTGTCCTCGCAATACCTCACGTCCCCTTAGGTTCCACTCAGAGACACAAATAGATACGCTCCATAGCGTAATATTGTCACTTTATTTGTTAATAATTAATTAAAATGCCCACTCACATGCTTGCAGTATCATAAGCATAGAACGCTGGCTGTCCTCATAACATGAGGCTTCATGGAGTACCAATATGGCACGTGCGCCGGAAATGACATCACCGCGTCCCGGAAACTGACAACAGGCGTACCAATGCGTTACGTCACGAGTAAAACGTGACTTCATGACCCTGAATTAATTATCAAATAAAGTGACAATATTACACTATGGAGCGTATCTATTTGTGTCTCTGAGTAGAACCTAAGGTGCAATGTACCCATTGCAGAGGAGCTTTATCTTTGACAGCTGGCTGCTTCTCCCTGAGTGCTACTTCTGGATTTAATCTACAAGGATCTCTGTTACATGGACCATGGACAATATCCCTATTTATTTCAATATTACAGGTTTTCTGGAGATATTGCTCTTTTAGCTGCATGTCCCTATTTTCTTTCCTAGTGCCACTATCGATTGTATTTTGGCTGTCGCTTGGCAACTCGAAGTTTCAGCTCCCTAAATACATTTTCTATAGGATTAATGTCTGGAGACTAGCTAGGCCACTCCATGACCTTAATGTGCTTCTTCTTAATCCACTCCTTGGCGGTATGTTTTGAGTCATTGTCATGCTAGAAGACCCATCCACGAACCATCTTCAGTGTTCTGGTTGAGGGAGGAGGGTTCTCATGCAAGATTTTACAATACATGGCCCCATCCATTGGCCTCGCAATGTGGTGAAGTCAGCCTGTACCTTTATCAGAGAAAAAGCCCCAAAGCATAATGTTTCCACCTCCGTGCTTGACTGTAGGGATGTGTTCCTAGGGTCATAGTCAGCATTTTTCTTTCTTCAAACATGGCGAGTCAAGTTAATGCCAAAAAGCTCAATTTTGGTCTCATCTGACCATGACACTTTCTCCCAAACCTGATCTAAATCATTTTGATGTTCATTGGTAAACTTCTGACAGGCCTGTACATGTGCCTTTTTGAGGAGGAGGACCTTACAGGCACTGCAGATTTTCAGTACATGGCGACGTATTGTGTTTACCAGTGTTTTTTTAGTGACTGTGGTCCCAACTGCCTTGAGATTATTCACAAGCTCCTCCCATGTAGTTCTGGGCTGATCCCTCACTTTTCTCATGGTCATCCTTACCCCATGAGGCCGAACCTTGCAGGGAGCACCAGACCTTGAAAGATGGTTATTTTGTATTTCTTCCATTTGCGAATAATTGCTCTAAAGTTGTCTCCTTCTGGCCTTGTGCAGGTCTACAATCTTGTCATTGATGTCCTTTGACAGCTTTTTGGTCTTGCCCATAATGGTGAGGTTTGAATGGAAGAAAAGAGATTCTGTGGACAGGTGTCTTTCAAACACAAAGAGTTGTCGTTAGGAGCACCTTCTTAACCTCCCTAGCGGTATTCCCGAGTGTAGCTCGGGGTAAAATGTCAGTGCCAAAAGCGGTAACCCCGAGCTACACTCGGGCTTACCATGCGGCGCTGCATAGGGAGTCCCTGCAGAGCTACCTTGTCCTTCGCTCCGCGATGTGTCCCCTGCAGTGTCCCCGGCCATCTCCTCCGGACGATGCCGGCATCCGGCTTCTGTGTTCCGGTCCGGTCCCGTTTGACTTCATTTTTTTCAAAACACATTTTTCATAGTAAAACCCTGCTGTTTCAACCCATTTCACATACATTTTGTCCGTAGTGCTTTGTCCTGTGCCCTGCCTGCATTTTGTCTGTTCTTTCTGCCTGGAAACTGAGAAACGTCCATGGCGTCCAAAAAGTGTCCCTTTAGGCCAAAAGCGCGGGTTTAGATCAGCTAGAGAACAGCAATAGTAAATCAGAACCACTTGCAGAATTGAGTGATAATGATTCGTGGGGAAATTTGTCATCAGACACTGAAAACGATTTTGCGACTTTGCTCAGCAATGTACGAACTTGGCGCTCTATTTCAAATTTCAGTGTTTTCGGTTTGATTATATTATTGAATTAAATGTATTATTATTATATTATTATTTTTTATGATTATTTATTAAATTATAATTTATGATTTCGTGTTTCAAATTTTATCATACCCGGGATGTTTAATAGACTCTTGTTCGGACAGATTTCAGTGAGTTATTCCTAAAAAATTAAAGTCTACAATAAAAAAACTACATATTTCCATGCAAAATAATGGTACCGCTTTCAGCACTAAAAAATCTGAAATAATCATACCGCTAGGGAGGTTAAATTGACAGGACTAAGCTGTGTAACATGTGAGCACATAGCCAGTCTGTGGGAGCCAGAATTATTGTTGGTTGGTAGGGGATCAAATAATTATATTACTCACTGAACTGCAACTCAACTTATAACATTTGTATTCTGTGTTTTTTCTGGATTTTTGGTTGATATTCTGTCTCTATCATTTAAACTACACCTATGATAAAAATTATAGACCCCTCATTTGTTTGTAAGTAGGCAAACTTACAAAATCTGCAGGGGATCAAATAACTATTTTGACCACTATAGCTGTCATTCCTTTTACAGGTTAGATAGAATAGGCTTAGAATAGGGGTGGTGAGAGCAGATTTAAAGTGGTAGTAAAGTTACCTGATTGAGTTACACCTACAGGTAAGCCTATAATTAGGCATTAACAGGAATCATTTAGGAGATATTTATTTTACAGCAGCTGGTGACATCACATGGGCATACGCACTGGGCGCTGAATGGACAGTGCCATCCATTTAGAGCTCTGTGCTGTGGCTGTGACTCCTGTGTGCATGCGTGGGAGTGACATTATCATGGCTTGGCCATTCAAACAGCCGAAGCCTGCGAACCCGGAAAGAAGACAGGCTGAAGATGGAAGCCCTGTCAGCAGTGACAGTGCTCCATTGGAGGGCTTTGTTTTAACCTCCCTAGCGGTCTGATTATGTCAGTATTTCTGTGCTGAAAGCAGTACATTGTCTTCAATGGAAATATGCAGTTTTTTTTATTGTAGGCTGTAAACGTTTTAGGAATAACTCACTGAAATCTGTCCGAACAAGAGTCTAGAAAACATCCCAGGCATGATAAAATTTGAAACACGAAATCATAAATTATAATATAATAAATCATAAAAAATAATAATAATAAATGTAATTCAATAATGTAATCAAACCAAAAACACCGAAATTTGAAATAGAGCACCAAGTTTGCACATCACTGAGCTTAGTCGCAGAATCGTTTTCAGTGTCTGATAACAAATTTTCCCACAAATTTTCCCACATTTGGTCACAATGTGCTAGTATGCGTTGCATACTAGACCATTATGGCTTTATCCTACAGGGACCCCATTTTTTTTTTTTGGGCAGTTTACTAATTATTTTAGTATAGTTAGATTTTGGCTTGAACTACACTTAAGGCCCCTTTTCTCACTTGTGTGTTTTGCAGCTTAAAGCTCAAAAACACTCAACAAGCAAAAACCTATTGTTTTCATAGCCCTTGTTCACATCCGAGTGCTCTGTCACTTGTAGCAAAACCCCTTTCACTCAAAAAAAATTGTACATGAGCCTACTTTTCCTTTTCAGGCTGAATTGAGCATTTTTGTCCCCATAGATTTCAATTAAAACACCTGAAATGTGCGAAATGAGTGTTTTTATCACTTTGTTGCACGTTTATGCTCAAACGGCAGCTGTCTGCCCCTTTTCCAGTAGCACTTTAAACACCTAGTTGAAAAACGCCTAAGAAAAAAAACGTCTGACAAAAGCGTGCTCCAAAAAACACTGGGAAAACTGACAGCAAGGATTAAAAGAAAAAGAAGCTGTTCAATCAGCTGCTAAAAGGTCTATAATAACTTTAAGGGCCAGTTCACGCTACAACTGCGTTTCAGTCAGCACATGTCCCTATTTTAATTGAAGAAGAAAAAGAGAGGGAAGAAATAAAATTTAAAAAAAAACACTGGCACGCGTCAAAAACGCATCAAAATGCACCGGAATGCATCACA